TTACCATGGCGATACGACCCCCACCGCTCAGCAGAAGTGTGTCAGTGCGCACAGGCGACCGTTCCAACCCGCCCGGACGACGTCACGCCTGTTGCCATGACGACAGCTTCCAATGTTCCCTCCAAACGAAGGGCTGATCGAACAGATCGCAGAAAATCCCCCCCCCCCCCCCATCCGAGGCTCCCTGTCGCCGTGACGCATCGCCGGTTGTGATACAAAAAAACGGAAACATTTCTGAACTTTGTAGCCGATCTTCTCATTTTGGGAAATATTTGTAGAAAAAAATCATTCGTTGCAGTGATGTCATCATCTCAGTCTCCCCTCCCCCAGTGATCATACTGTACATTGTAACTTTGTAGAAGGAGGAGGAGTCATTTCCTCAGTCTCCTCCCCCAGTGATCAGACTGTACATTGTAACTTTGTAGAAGGAGGAGGAGGAGTCATTTCCTCAGTATCCCCTCCCCCGGTGATCAGACTGTACATTGCACATGTTAAGACGCTGACATTCAAAGTGACCCCTCCCCGGACAACTGCGCCAAAGTGACCCCAGCCAACTGCGCCAAATTGACCCCTCCCTGGACAACTGCGCCAAAGTGACCCCTCCCTGGACAACTGTGCCAAAGTGACCCCTCCCCAACCAACTGCGCCAAAGTGACCCCTCCCGACCAACTGCGCCAAAGTGACCCCTCCCCGACCAACCCCCCCGGACAACTGCGCCAAAGTGACCCCCTCCCCGCACAACTGCGCCAAAGTGACCTCTCCCCCGACCAACTGCGCCAAAGTGACCCCTCCCCGGACAACTGCGCCAAAGTGACCCTCCCCGACCAACTGCGCCAAAGTGACCCCTCCCCGATCAACTGCGCCAAAGTGACCCCTCCCCGACCAACTGCGCCAAAGTGACCCCTCCCCGTCCAACTGCGCCAAAGTGACCCCTCCCCGGACAACTGCGCCAAAGTGACCCCCCCCGGCCAACTGCGCCAAAGTGACCCCTCCCCGGACAACTGCGCCAAAGTGACCCCTCCCCAACCAACTGCGCCAAAGTGACCCTCCCCGGACAACTGCGCCAAAGTGACCCCTCCCCGGCCAACTGCGCCAAAGTGACCCCTCCCCGGCCAACTGCGCCAAAGTGACCCCTCCCCGGACCAACTGCGCCAAAGTGACCCCTCCCCGGACAACTGCGCCAAAGTGACCCCTCCCCGGCCAACTGCGCCAAAGTGACCCCTCCCCGATCAACTGCGCCAAAGTGACCCCTCCCCGGCCAACTGCGCCAAAGTGACCCCTCCCCGGCCAACTGCGCCAAAGTGACCCCTCCCCGGACAACTGCGCCAAAGTGACCCCTCCCCGACCAACTGCGCCAAAGTGACCCCTCCCCAACCAACTGCGCCAAAGTGACCCCTCCCCAACCAACTGCGCCAAAGTGACCCCTCCCCGGACAACTGCGCCAAAGTGACCCCTCCCCGGCCAACTGCGCCAAAGTGACCCCTCCCCGACCAACTGCGCCAAAGTGACCCCTCCCCGGCCAACTGCGCCAAAGTGACCCCTCCCCGGCCAACTGCGCCAAAGTGACCCTCCCCGGACAACTGCGCCAAAGTGACCCCTCCCCGGCCAACTGCGCCAAAGTGACCCCTCCCCGGACAACTGCGCCAAAGTGACCCCTCCCCGACCAACTGCGTCAAAGTGACCCCCCCCGACCAACTGCGCCAAAGTGACCCCTCCCCGACCAACTGCGCCAAAGTGACCCCTCCCGGACAACTGCGCCAAAGTGACCCCTCCCCGGCCAACTGCGCCAAAGTGACCCCTCCCCGACCAACTGCGCCAAAGTGACCCCTCCCCGATCAACTGCGCCAAAGCGACCCCTCCCCGATCAACTGCGCCAAAGCGACCCCTCCCCGATCAACTGCGCCAAAGTGACCCCTCCCCGGCCAACTGCGCCAAAGTGACCCCTCCCCGATCAACTGCGCCAAAGTGACCCCCTCCCCGGCCAACTTCGCCAAAGTGTCCCCTCCCCGATCAACTGCGCCAAAGTGACCCCTCCCCGACCAACTGCGCCAAAGTGACCCCTCCCCGGACAACTGCGCCAACGTGACCCCTCCCCGGACAACTGCTCCAACGTGACCCCTCCCCGGACAACTGCGCCAACGTGACCCCTCCCCGGCCAATCCCGACTGTACAGAACACCTCTAGTATACTTCAGGGATATATAGATCGCCAATACGGGAAGTTGGGGGAGAACTGCAGGTTCAGGTGTGCGCCCCCCTCCCCCGCCCTGCAATAGATATCATATACACCTGTGCTCCCCGCCCCCACCTACCTGTATATATGACCTGCCAGGTGTGGAGGGGTGTGGCTACATGGTAACCCTGACCAATCTGGATGAATCCTGTGCTGTCTACGGCTCCGCCCACCAATCAGCTCACTCCGCCCCCTAAATATACACAAATCTGCACAACAACATAATACACGTGTGATCCTCCGACGTCTGATGTCCATCCGGGGGGCACCTCACCCCGTGACACCCCAACACATGATAATGACACGCGTGTGAGGGAGATTCCACGCAGATAAGAAGCCAGGGGAGCGCAATGACCACCTTCATCAGCCCCACAACCTGTGTGATTGATATGTGTTCGGGTGTAAAGGGACAAAGTAACAACCCAACATACGTGTCACATGCCAAAGGAACATGCACTGTGATTCATTGTGTGTTTGGTGAACTAATATACGTGATGTGACCTGCGCTAGGAAATACTCATTACACCCATCACATGTCACACCCATCACATCACACATTACGCCCATCACATGTCACACATTACACCCGTCACATGCCACACCCATCACATGCCACACCCATCACACGTCACACATTATACCCGTCACACATTACACCCGTCACATGCCACACCCATCACATGTCACACATTACACCCGTCACACATTACACCCGTCACATGCCACACCCATCACACGTCACACATTACACCCGTCACACGTCACACATTACACCCATCACACATTACACCCGTCACATGCCACAGCCATCACACGTCACACATTACACCCATCACATGTCACACATTACACCCATCACATGCCACACCCATCACACGTCACACATTATACCCGTCACACATTACACCCGTCACATGCCACACCCATCACATGTCACACATTACACCCGTCACACATTACACCCGTCACATGCCACACCCATCACACGTCACACATTACACACGTCACACATTACACCCATCACACATTACACCCGTCACATGCCACAGCCATCACACGTCACACATTACACCCATCACATGTCACACATTACACCCATCACATGTCACACATTTCACATGTCACACATTACACCTGTCACACATTACACCGTCACACCCATCACATGTCACACCCATCACACACTACACTCATCACATGTCACACACATCACACATCACCCCTGTCACATGTCACACCCATCACACGTCACACATTACACCCGTCACATGTCACACCCATCACACGTCACACATTACACCCATCACATGTCACACCCATCACACATTACACCCATCACACGTCACACCCATCACACGTCACACCCATCACGTCACACATTACACCCATCACACGTCACACCCATCACATGTCACAACCATCACACATTACACCCATCACATGTCACACCCATCACATGTCACACATTACACCCATCACGTCACCCATCACATGTCACACGTCACACCCGTCACACATCACTCCCGTCACACATCACGCCCAGCCTGGTCTGGATTGAACCTGTTTATTCCATGAAGCGCAGTCTCACTCGAACAGCTGCAACCAAATAATCCGAACAAAGCGAAGCACCAGAAGGACGATTGCAGTCGCAGGGAAAACATTTCACCTTCAGAGTCAGACATACAATAAATCGGTCTGTCTATAAAGATCGGCAGAATGGTGGAATTTGATTGGAATGAAATCGTTCTGAAGCTTCTCGCCGCCAAGAATCGCACATTAGCGCAGCTTGGGCGTGGCCTTGAAGGGAGCCCCACCCCCCTCCTGCATATACTCATCTTCACTTCCCCTCCCCCGAGAGCGAGGAGAAATACCCGGCACTACGTGGTATGAGGATCATGTGACGCGCTCCCTTCCTCGCTCTGGTACTTGGCGATTGGCTGTCGCCATTCCTGACAATGAAGGTGGAGTAGGGGGCGGAGTTGGAGGTGTGGCTTATAGTATCACTTTATTTTTTTACCTAAAATGTTTAAATGAACCCCAAAACGGCCCCATGCCCTAGGAGGAGATCAAACAACATTTCTGGTGAAATAAATGGCGATCTTTATAGACAGACCCCAGGAAGCCAAGAATTCGGCGCTAATCTAAGTTTTAGCCAACGCCCTATTTTCCCGCCCACAAGGAGGCGATTTTGGTGGATGCGTCAAGCCATTGGCCGGCCCTCGCGTCTTCCTCTGCGGCTCCTCTGGTAATCCGCTCGCGGGCTCTCATTGGCCGAATTTCTGGAAATCTCTGGAGAAGATCGTCCTGTACACCCACTTCTGGAAATTGGCCACGGCCGTGTACACCCGGGGTATTTGGGGTTGGCGCAGCTGTGGCCCCAAGACACAACGCCGAACACTCTGCCGTCACACACCAGGGGCCCCCGGAGTCCCCCTGGAAGAAAAGGGAAAGGAAAATGATTGGAGAACAGATGAGAGCAAAACACCCGAGTGAAAAGCAGCTGGCGGAAGCTGTCAACTTCCTTCCCCCCCATTAAAAACGACCGCAGCTTTTGTGAGATCATCACTACCCCAGAACTGGTGGCCTGGGGGGGAAAAGAAGTCAGCTTCCGTCAGAGCCTTCTCACACAGGGCTTGCTGTGTGTCAATTCGCTCTCATAACCTTTGCTGCCCCCCCAGGCTGGTTAGGAGTCTCACCTGGCAGGCGTCTTTGCCCCCGTTGGTGAACCCAGCGCAGATCATGTTGTTGGTGATGTGCCCGGAGTAGGAGGCGGAGCTATTACAGCGGCGGGCGGAGACGATGGGAAGCTTGACACTGCGCAGGGTGTCCGAGGCCTTACCACTGTTGGTGCTGGTGTACCCCCATCCGGATACCTGACACAGGCGCCCCCTCGCCGAGCGCCATCCCCTGCGCTGGAAGAGGGACTATGGATACGAAGGAGTTATAGATGGCTGGCCGGTTCAGCTGTAAGGAAAGAGAACCTGTCAGGGAGGGTATTAAATGATAAAAATGTTCTCCAAATTTAAATCCTATCTACCCCATGTCTACGCCTCACTATGGCATCAATTGTATTATGGAGGCGGAGCTTCCTCCAGTGACCAGTTCATACTTCAAAATGCCTGGCGTCACAAATGGGGTCAGGAACGATTCCACATTTTCTTTTAATTTATTTTATTTTATTATATTTTATTTTTATTATAATTATTTTATTTTATTTATTTTATATACTTATTATATTTTACTTTTATTATTGTTATTATTTTTTATATCTACTGTATTTTACTATTTTATTTTTAATTTATTTTATTATTATTTTTATATATATATATATACATCCTAGATTGTAAGCTCGAAAGAGCAGGGCCCTCAATCCCCTCATGTTTTGCATTGTATTGGTATTGTTCTGTCCCCCTTTGTAATGTACAGCGCTGAGCGAACTATTGGCGCTTTATAAATACTGTATAATATATATATATATATATATATATATATATTAGATTTTTTTTATTTATTCTACTATATTTTATTATTATTATTATTTTTATATATTTATTAGATTTTATTATTTTATATATTTATATATTGTATTGTATTTTACTATTTTATTTTTTATTTTTATTTTTATTATTATTATTATTATTATTTATTTATTACTGTTATTATTATTTTATATATTTATTAGATTTTATTATTTTATTTTAATTTATTCTACTATATTTTTTTAAATTATTATTATTTTATTTTATATATTTATTAGATTTTATTTTATTATTTTAATTTATTAGATTTTTTATTATTATTATATTTATTATATTTTTTTTTTTTATTATTTTCTTTCCTTATTTTTAATTTTCTTTTAATTTCTTCTCATTTCAATGTTTACATTTTCTTATAAAGTGTTAAATGTGTTTGAACTGACGTTTCAGATCTATTTTGTTTGCTACGAACACCATTGTTCATATTTGAGACAAAGGATTCCCAGAGCACCCCCCCATGTTAGCTAGGAAGGCAGCACAGCAGAAGGTGTCTGCTTTCAGGCACCCTGTATCTAACTGAAACCTTGGGTAGAGCCATAGGGAATGGGAGGAGTCACTGCTCTGGAGAGGGGAGGAGTCACTAACTCATTCGGCTGCATGTGTAAATGTCAGCTTGAGCTGTTGAGTTCTGTATACAACAAACGTTTTCTCAACAGAGGAGATAAGGAGTGGATGGAAAATGCAAAGAGGAGACGAGGGCCCCCCCTGCTGGCTACCTATGGAAGTAGCAATGATTCATACAGGTTTCATTTTCAAATTTGAATAATGTGTATGTTTTAGGAAATGTGCCCCTCCCCCCGCCCATCCCGCCCCTCCCACCCCGCCCATCCCTCCCCTCCCACCCCTTCCGCCCCGCCCCCCATTATTATCACCTTTATCAGCATGATGTCGGCATTCTTGGAGGAGGAGCTATATTCCGGGTGAGCGATCATCTTCACGGGGCGAAATATCTGTTCTGTTCCTTCGAAGGTGGACAGCGAATATTCCCCGGCAACAACCAGCATCTGCTTCTGCCTGGAGGATCCAGAGGCGGGGAACAGGTGGGGAACAGATGGGGAACAGATGAGGAATGGTGGGGAAGAGGCGGGGAACAGACGAGGAACAGATGGGGAACGGATAGGGAATGGATGAGGAATGAGTGAGGAACGGACGAGGAACGGGCAGGGAACGGTGGGGAAGAGGCAGGGAACAGACGAGGAACAGACGGGGAACGGATAGGGAATGGATGAGAATGAGTGAGGAACGGACGAGGAACGGGCAGAATGGTGGGGAAGAGGCAGGGAACAGATGGGGAACGGATGAGGAACGAACGAGGAACGGGCAGGAAACAGATGGGGAACAGACGAGGAATAGATGGGGAACGAACGAGGAACGGACGGAGAACGGATGAGGAACGGGCGGGGAACAGAAGGGGAACGGACGAGGAACAGATGGGGATGGGGAACGAACGAGGAACGGACGGAGAACGGATGAGGAACGGGCGGGGGAACAGAAGGGGAACGGACGAGGAACGAATGAGGAACGGACGGGGAACAGAAGAGGAACGGATGGGGAACAGATGGGGAACAGACGAGGAACGGACGGAGAACGGATGAGGAACGGGCGGGGAACAGAAGAGGAACGGGCGGGGAACAGATGGGGAACAGACGAGGAACGGACGGAGAACGGATGAGGAACGGGCGGGGGCGAAGGGAACAGACGGGCGGGGAACGGATGGGAGAACGGATGAGGAACGGGCGGGGAACAGAAGAGGAACGGGCGGGGAACAGAACGGGGGAACAGACGAGGAACGGACGGAGAACGGATGAGGAACGGGGCGGGGAACAGAAGGGGAACAGACGAGGAACGGACGGAGAACGGATGAGGAATGGGCAGGGAACAGATGGGGAACAGACGAGGAACGGACGGGAGAACGAATGAGGAACGGACGGGGAACAGATGGGGAACAGACGGGGAACGAATGAGGAACAGACGGGGAACAGAAGGGGAACGGGCGGGGAATGAATGAGGAACGGACGGGGAACAGAAGGGGAACGGACGAGGAACGGACGGAGAACGAATGAGGAACAGACGGGGAACAGAAGAGGAACGGGCGGGGAACAGATGGGGAACATGAGGAACGGACGGGAACGGATGAGGAACGGGCGGGGAACGAATGGGGAACAGACGGGGAACAGACGGGGAACGAATGAGGAACAGACGGGGAACAGAAGGGGAACGGACGAGGAACGGACGGAGACGGATGAGGAATGGGCGAGGAAAAGAAGGGAACGGATTGACTCGGATGGGGAGAACATTAATTTCTATCAATGAACAGATGGGGAACAGACGGGGAACGAATGAGGAAAGACGGGGAATCAGCCTCTTAGTGCGATTACAGGAACAGCACGGGATGAACTGAACAGATTGTGATCAGACGAGCAAAAGTAACGGGGAGATTACTCGATGGGGAGATTCCATTACAAATACATTTCTATCATGTCTACCCTATCATTTCACCCAGCAGTGATCAGCTGTAATTGCCTCTTAGTGCGATTACAGACACAGCAGGAAGGATGACTGACACGAAATCCCTCCCCCCAGTGATCAGACTGTACATAGTAACTTTGTAGAAGGAGGAGGAAGCATTTCCTCAGTCTCCCCCCCCCAGTGATCAGACTGTATATTGCAACTTTGTAGAAGGAGGAGGAAGCATTTCCTCAAACTCCCCTCCGCCCCCCAGTGATCAGACTGTACATTGTAACTTTGTAGAAGGAGGAGGAAGCATTTCCTCAGTCTCCCCTCCCCCAGTGATCAGACTGTACATAGTAACTTTGTAGCAAGTCACAAGATGAGCCGGCATAGGCCACACTGTGTATATATAATATACTCACTCGGTCTTGCAGTGGGCGGCGGAGAGGACCCAGAAGCGGCTGACGAGGGACCCCCCACAGAAGTGGATTCCTGTGTTCCTCCTGAGTGACACCAGATACCGCGCTGAGTATGGCGGGACGATGAAGCCGCCGATGATTCGCGTTATGCTGTCCTGTCCCTCGCCTGCAAATTTCACAATATTGAGAGACCAGAGCAAGGGGGAGAAAAACATCAAACGTTAGACTCAGTGATGTCATTACTGGGTCCCTGTGCTCCTCTATGCACTGCAGGCTGATCATGGCTGGTGGGAGGGGCTAGCAGGGTGCTGTACATAGCTTCCTACTCCAGACCGACACCCACCTATTAAGGCATTTTTGTATTTGCATAACTCCTCCCAAGAACCAGCCCACTACTGAGCCCTTTCGAGAGGACTGACGCAGGGTGCCCCTCCCACCAGCCATGATCTGCCTGCATTGCATACAGTGGTTGCACGACGGTCGTCATGTGATTGGGCAGCCCCACCCCCCTGTTATATAGATGCTGGTGGGCGGGAAGGAGTTAAATCAATTTTTTCTGCATTGCGAGTTTCTTTCACTTGCGGATCCCACCGGTAACAGAACTTCCTGCCGCAGACTGACAACGTAAAACCATTTCCCTGCAATCAGCAGCGGTGTTGTCATGCTGCCTTGTGAGCTCCGTTCCGTGGCCATGGAGGTTGTCTGCCTGCATAGGTGCCAGCTGTCCCGGATTTGGGGGGACAGTCCCATGTCAGGATGTGTCCCGGATTTGGGGGGACAGTCCCGTGTCAGGATGTGTCCAGGATTTGGGGGGACAGTCCCATGTCAGGATGTGTCCAGGATTTGGGGGGACAGTCCCATGTCAGGATGTGCCCCGGATTTGGTGGGACAGTCCCGTGTCAGGATGTGCCCCGGATTTGGTGGGACAGTCCCGTGTCAGGATGTGTGTCGGGTTTGGGGAGACAGTCCCGTGTCAGGATGTGTCCCGGATTTGGGGGGACAGTCCCGTGTCAGGATGTGTCCCGGATTTGGGGAGACAGTCCCGTGTCAGGATGTGTCCCGGATTTGGTGGGACAGTCCCGTGTCAGGATGGGTCCTGGATTTGGTGGGGACAGTCCCGTGTCAGGATGGGTCCCGGATTTGGTGGGACAGTCCCGTGTCAGGATGCGTCCCGGATTTGGTGGGACAGTCCCGTGTCAGGATGCGTCCCGGATTTGGTGGGACAGTCCCATGTCAGGATGTGTCCCGGGCTGTGTCCCGGAATCACAGCATCACCCTTGCTGGACTTACTGAGCATAAAACAAAGTGTATTCACTGGGGGGGTAGTGACTGCGAGTTTGCAGTTCCTGCATACATAAGGGAAGGGTCATGCCAGAAAGTGGGTGTGGTTTGGGCATGACCCCAGGAAAGTAGGTGTGTCAAGTGTGGGCTGGGGACAGGACTATTATGTTGGGATAGATCTCATAGGGGTGTATAGATCTACCCTGGGGGCGTAGATAAGGAGGGGGGTCAGGGGGGTTCAAACCTTTCGCCATCCTGCCAAAAATGAAATGCAGGGTGTCCCCGTTCTGCTGCACATGGCACCAGCAGCGAGCAGCACAGCAGGCAAGGGTTAATCCGCATGCGGCCGGGGTGAGGCTGACACAGTCACAGAGATCTCTATTACCATCAGGCAGTGCACTAACCGAGCCTGTACCGCCCACCACTCCCTACACTCCTCTATTGCCATTGGCTTGCAGGACTGCTTCCTGTTTTGGGGGAGGAGCTTTGCCTGGGCCCTGGAGCGCCGTGTAGCTGCCATTTGTCACCCTTGTTTCATCGACACGGAGACAAGATGGAGACAACATGGGCCAACACGGAGACAACCCCCTTCTCATCTTGGGGCCAAGTGGCCTGATATGGTTCAGGAGGGTGGGAGCCGCAACCTGCCCCTCCCCCTCCATCCCTGTCCTGGCTGTGTGGTCGGATTAAGTCTGGTGCAGGGGTGCACTGACAACTCATGGGGCCCCCGGACAATAGGGGATCATGGGGCCCCTGTGTCCTCACCCACACTCAAACCACTCCCAAATAAAGCCTATGAAAGGTACCAGGGGCATGTCATGGGGCCCCCAACTGACCCCGGGCCCTCAGGCAGTGCCCGAATCTCTGAATGGTCAGTCTGCCCCTGGGTCTGGTGTGAATTTTAGGAGGGGGCCACATGATTTAAAATCAGAACCAGATCTGAAGGGGAACTCCAGGGGAACCTCACACTGCTTTTTTACCGCCCCATCCATACCAGACAAAGGGTCAGCAGTGTGCGATTCTCTGCTCATTCTTGTTGCTGCTTTTTTTTTTTAAAAAAAGAAAAAACAACAAACAGACACCCCCCCCCCCCCCCCCCCCCTGAAGTTTGCTGGGGTTGCTTTTTTTTTCGGCAATGGCAGCTGTGAAAGTCATTTGGCGGCAATTTTGCACCTTTTTTCCTTTGTGAATATCGGTGTAAAAAAGGATTCGAAAAAAGTGGCCTTAGCCGGCCATAGACGGGTCGACTTCATTTTCAAACAATTTTTTGTTCAAAAATCAGACCTAAGAATAATCGGCGGATTTTCGCTCTGTTAGTGGGGCGATGGTTCCGACGATTTTCGTGACTCCTCCCCATTTTTTTTTTATCGGCCGTGCTGGAAAATTCATGAAAAACAACCGATTTTCAAAATCATTGGTGACAGCCCCGGATTACAGAACGAACGCCGTTTTCGATTTTCAATTGAAAAATCGTTTGGAATTTGACCCGTGTATGGCCCGCATAGGTACGTGGTCCCCAGGGCATTACCCCCCCTTCCCATTTTATTTTTGTGACACCCCCTTGCCCAGAAAATTGCCTTTTTTTTTTTTTTGACAAATTCGCCTCCCATTGATTATAGAATAAACGGCGTTTTCAATCAAAAAAAATCGTTCGGAATTTGACCCATGTATGGCCTGCATCCCTGGGTGCAGTACCTGGTCCCCAGGGCATTACCCCCCCCCCCATGCTATTTTTTTGACACCCCTTACCAGAGGCGGACTGACTATTTAGGTCTCGGGGCTGCCCGAGGGCCCGGGGTCAGTAGGGGGCCCCATGAGATGCCCCTGGTACC